AATGCTCAACTTTTATGGCCTTCACCAAACTTTTGTATTATTATTCATGGGAGATATTCTCAATGTATGGTGGAATGTGTGTATGAGGTCGATGTAGAGGTCTATAGGCTCTCACCATTTGGCAGTACTAATTTTAGAGGTATAAATCGGGCTGTGCTAGGCTTGGGTTTCCAGCCCATGGGCTGGTACAACATGATACGACCGAATGGGCCATGCTGCTTGCAGCTCACATGCCAGCCCAGCCGTGTGTGTGGGCCCACGGATGTAGAGGTCTATATTGTTCACACACACACACACACATACATATATATATATATATATATATATATATATGAGTAGACAGGTGCTTTATATTGTAACTTTTAAATAATTAATAATTATTAATTTCATCTAGGGTTGTTCATCAAACCAATGAAATTGACCAAATCGACCAACTTGACCCAATACGACCCGAGTTGGTTGGTTTTCTAATATTCTTTATTGACTTTGGTTCAACTATTTTCCAACTCGATTAAGTTGGGTCAATTTTGGTTTGGCCATTTGTAAATTAACCAAAACTGAGCCAATCCGACCATATATATATATATATATCAATATTTTATATTTCAAATATAAATTTTTTAATATGGGAAAGTGGGAAATTCCCATATTTCTGAGTCTAAAATATTTTATATTGTAAATTTAAAATTTAAATTTATTTTTTTAATAGTACCATTGTAATTTTTTACATTTAAATTTTTAAGTTTAAATCTTTTGAACCGACCAATCAAATCGAAAATTAATCCAAACTCATACAACCCGAATTGGCCAATTTTCACTAATGGCCTGTTGGTTTCGGGTGACCAACTCCCTAACCCAACCAAGTCAATTTGGTTGGCCAAACAATCTACAACTAAACTGACCCATGAACATTCATAGTTTCAACTAAATTAGTAGTTAAATCTCTAATAAATAACAACACTTTAATCCCCGATAGTTATTGATAATTTATAGAAAAAATACACAATTATTGAAAATTAATTTATAAACATAAATATAATAAATAAATAATAAAAATACAAAAATTACAATAAAATATTTAAAATTTTCATTATTTAAATTTTTTATTTGAAAGTTATTACACAATATTAAATGTTTTTTTATATAATTATTTATCCATTTTTAATATTTTATTTGAAATATTTAATACATATTTTATTTTTTAACACTTTATCATTTAAAAATAAATTTGAATAAATTTTTTATTGAATTTTTTTAAAAAATTATTTAGTTATTACATAATATTAAATGTTTTGTTATATAATTAATTTATATTCTTAATATTTTTTTTTATTTAAATATTTAAATAATATTTTAAATTTTTATTATTTAAATAAAATTTAAATGATTTTATTACTAAAATTTGTAATCCATAAAATTATAATTTATATTGTTATTACATAATTTTATTATGAATTTCATAAAAATATAAACTTATTAATAATCTAAACATTATTAAGTCTATTATAATATTTTTTTATTTTTAATACATGTTTTAAAGTTATTACATAATTTTGTTATAATATTTAAATAACTATTGAATATTTTAATTCAAACATTATTTAAGTAGACATGGATGAAAAGTAAGGGAGAGGATAAATATAAATTATAGATAATTTAAGAGGTAAATTAAATAGAAATTAAAGATAATAAAAAATAATTTAGGAGAAAATAGAGGATAGTGGTGCCACGTGGATACGTAGGATAGATTAAGAGGTGTTTTTAGTATAGATGTTACGGACAAAACCCGGGCTAAGCCGGATGTGCCAAATAATGCCTTGTAAAAACGGTCGTAATGGGAGGACTGGACAGAGACAAAAGAACAGATCCGACTCTGGGTTGGAACTAAAGATCTTTGGAGGCCTAGACCAAAATCTCTCTCAATTTTAAGGGGAAGACGTTGGAGAATGAGTGCAACCATTGTTGCACAAATTAATCCTTGCATTTGTCCAATAAAATACAAATAGATCACAAGTATGACCATATTTTGTTGGGCAGTGGCAAGAGGTTTGTGCAACAAAAAGACGTGAACTTGATGATAATACGCTTGACTCACGAATCAAAGAGGCTGACTCATAACTCGCTCCAATCTAAAATTTGGATACAGTGATGCTGGAGGACTGCAATATCATCGTCCGAACTCCGAAGCATTCCCTTAACTGTGTTTGGTTGCAATGCAAATAACCAATGTAAAACCATGGCAGTGCAAATGATTTGAGTATAAATTTTGATTTATTTTTGTTTTAAATTTTAGCTTATTTTATTTGATTGCAGTAAGAATGAAGTAAATTAAGACATGAAACAAAATAAAATAAAATTTAAAATAAAATTAAACAAGAATTTACAATTTTTACATTTATACTCCTATACATTTGTACTAGTGCAAATAAAATTGCACTGTAATCAAACACAGCCTTGGATTCAAGTATATCCACAGTTGCAAATAAGAAAATAACGCAACTGACTGATTAGCTAAGCAAGGGCAGCAAAGGGATGAAGTTCCCATGGGATTTGCAATTCATCTCTCTTCTTGATTTAGTTGGCAGATCTCTCCCACTAGGGGTGTTCACAAGAAGAACCAAACCGATCTGGTCGATTTCTCAAAACTTTTGGCTAGTCTCAATTTATAAATATAAACAACCGACTAGGTCGGTTCAGTTGAGCAAAAAGCCTACAACAGACCCAACCCGACTTGTGAACACCCCTATCTCCCACGTCTTGTTTGATTATTTCCTTTATTTATAAAAAAAAAGAGAATATTTGACTTGTTATAGGATTGTACCGGCTGCACCTGGTTTGGGGGATGAGCTATACAAAAAGAAAAAAAAACACTTGTTGTAGGATTGCAATAGACATGGTTTTCAAAATTGGACTGGATCGGATGGTTGGATTGGAAAACTGGGAACGGTCATGTGATTGGTTCCGTTTTACTCCAAAACCGCTTTTTGAAAAAATATTATTAATTTGATCAGCGAGCTGTTGACTCAGGTGGTTGAACCATTGACCCAAACAACGGTTTTGGCCAATTTTTCTATTTTTTTTATTTTTTAATTTTTCTGTCAGAACAGGTCATCCATTCAAGCCAACCGTTCAGATTGTTCAACCCAAGAACTAGACCCCAAAACGGTTCCCTGTCCAATTTGGTTTTAAAAAGCCTTGGTAATAGAAACTTGTGGTCAAATCTTACTACCACCAGGGACTAGGGTTGGGGGTTAAGGTTAAAGGAGATGGAATGGGTTATCCCCATTGTGCATGTTTATACATTACAACACTCTAGTTCAAAATCAGACCAGACTAGATGGCCGAACCAAAAAATGGGACCGATTAGGTGACCGGTTCCATTTTACCCTATAACCGTTATTTCCCCAAAAACCATTAATTTGATCAGCAAAACACTGACTCGGGCTGTCGAACCATTTGAACCGTTCAACGGTTTGGCCGATTTTTATTTTTTTATTAGAATGGGCTGTCCGTTCAGTTCAAACAGTCGAACCATTTGACCTGGGAACTAAACCCTAACTGGTTCGTTGTCTGATTCGGTTTTAAAACCTTGCACTCTAGAACGGTTCCAATTGTCTCGCAAGATGGCCCAAAGGTCAAAACCATTCAATCTCTCACTTTGAGTTATGGTTACATTGGTCCTCACGGTTGGCAAAATAACTATCAAATTGAAAATCAACTAATATGTTTTCATTTTATTCCCAATACTAACATTAAAATTCCTAACAAGGCAAGACTATAAAGTTCTACACCTAGAATCTGTCAAAAAATTCTAAGAAATTCAAATCCTAACCCTAGCAAAGAGTGGATCTTCCATCTCTGGATCACCTGCCCACAAGAACTTTATCCACGTCTATTCACAACACACTACTCCTGTGAATTGGGAATGTCTCCCCCTGTATAATATCATTTAAGAGGATGAGATGTTCTCCATATGTAGCTGCAATGTTATGTGATTAGACATGGATAAAATTTGTGTGGGCAGGAGATCTAGAATCTTTATCAAATGACTAAACTTGAGAAAGAAATTCACAAGAGCCAAACATATATATTGATGTGTATAACCGCTGATTCAGACGTGTGTATCACATGTAAATACGTGCAATTACAAATATGTACAATGTAAATACGGGGGGGGG